AAGCCATATTAGAGAGATTCAATAGGACTTTGGCCGAGCGCTTCTTCGGGCATCAGTATGCGAGAGAGATGGCCAACCTGGGAGACGATCGACAGAAAGTGTAGCGTGGCTACCTCAAGTGGTGTCAGCTATCAACCACGAAACCACTCGTCTCACCGGCAAGAAACCGGCTGACGCTTTCAAACTGAAATCAGTGACGGCCAAACCGGCTGCACCATCGCGTGGGAAGGAGAAACAGATACCCGACAGGGCCCTCGTGAGGTACCTCTACCAGCCGAGGAAACACGAAGGAGACACTCGCAAATGAACCACCGACCCGACATGGTCGGTCAAGACTTACAGCATAGATAAAGTGGACATCAAAGACGACGAGCCGAACCTGTACTACTTGAAAGACGGCCGCCGAGGGTGGTCGTCAGAGAGGAAGTGTTGATCATACCTCACGGCACCATGTTGCCACCCAAGTAGCGATTCAAGGCCATAGTGACCAGGAAGTTGGTTGGGGGATTCAAAAGTGGTATATACACTGGGGGGAAGAGATCGGGGCCTGATAAAGGCTTTATCTATGAAATAAAGCTTTACAGAGGTCTTTGGCAAAAGTGATCTCATACCCCAACTGTATATACTACTGCAAGTGTAATGCTTGGTTGTCTTCTCAGAGGTCCGCGCACGCGTGTTATATAGAGTCAAAACTACCAGCGACGGCTTTCAGTCTGTCCCAGATCTGCCAGAGAGATCATGTCTGGTGGTGACCAGGGGAAGTTACCCTAATGTTGAATGGAAACGTTTACAAACATAACATTGGAAAAATAAAGTGAAACAGCAGAAGTTATGAAGGCTAAGTGAACAAAACGCAGTAATAGTTAGTTAATGGCTAGTTATGACTAAAATGAAAGCTTATATAACTGGGGGGCTGGAGGGGTGGGGGTGGTGGTGTGTGTGTGTGTGGTGGTAGTTACATAATCAAGTAAAGCATAGTGAAATACAGTTCGGCTACATGTATATTGTGAGGAGGTGGCGAGGGCACAGAAGCTTGAGCATGGCCACATTGGTCTCAGCCAGAAGCCGACGTTAAACTTGTAATCATCACATCATCATCATCACCATCATGATCACACTCTCGCTAATCGTTTTGCATCTCTCCACACACTTAATGTGCAATAGGTGGGCGCTGATGTTGTGCATTTGGCAGGTAACGCCGCCAGAGAAAAGCAGAATCCTCCCCAGACATGTGCAGCTGTACTCCATCAACGAGGAGTGGTTGAACCTCCCCAACATCCAGGATGTACTTGTCTCCAAGAAGACGCAGAACGGTCCTCTTCACAAAAGAATGCTTGAAAACCCGAGGAAAAGCAAGAAATGCGGCACAAAAATAGAGAGTTGCAAGCAACGGTGTGGGCTCCTTGGCTTTAAAAGGCTGCATCTCAGTTGTTCGTGGGTATACGGTCAAGACAGTTAGTGTCCTGAAATCGCCAAGTCTTCATCAGGGTCAGGGTTAAACAGAGGCAATGAGCCCTAAACACACTATTCAAACACACACACACGCGAATGTCTTAGTGAGCAAGCCATAAAACAATGCCAAACGAGACCTCATTTATTCCTTCTGTCAGGCTTATTTTCATTCACCCATTTACGATTACAAATGCATACTTGGGTTCCTTCATTGATGTCATGATCTCAAGCCTAGCCTTGCCTTTCACCTCCTGTAGTTATGCTACTGCTATGAATCATCTTACTAATATGACGCCATATCTGCAATAAATGTAGAGTCGGGGTATTGAACGCAATAAGATAAGCAAAATAATAAAACATACTGATACAAGTACAACTTTTATCCAAACGATATGAACTGGACGATACATAGATAAGATATCCACTGTAATACTGAAAACATCCTCAGAATACGATCCAAATCTATGTCCAAAGCTATGTCGCAAAAGTGAAAGAGCGGTTCACCAAACCAACCTTTCACTACCGGTCAAAGGGGAACAACTCGTGCATGTATGTGTGATTTTACAGCACATCATGCACTGTTCATGCCACAGTAGTATCACTAAACACTCTGTATCGTCTGAGCATATGTACGTGTATCAGATTCATATTTAGGTATGATATTGTTAGATGGCAGGTGTAGTCGTGTACCAAGTATGGTGAGTGTGCGTCCATAAAGGTACCATCTCCGCCGAGCATGTACATAGACTATTTCTGTGTTATTTGAAAGCAAATCCACAGTTCCTGGGCGACAGTAGTATGATTGAAAACGCTGTGTCGTCTGAGCATATAGGTGTATCAGATTCATATTTAGATATGTTATTGTCTGATGGCATCTGTAGAGATGTGCCAAATAGGGTCACTTTGCAGCCATAATTACTTGACCTCCGTCGAGGATGTACATAGACTATTTCTGTGCTATGCAAATGACGCGCGAGGGTACGTAGTATCCAGGAAAACGCTGTATCTTCTGAGCATGTAGATGTATCCTATTCCTATTTAGGTATGATATTGTCTGATGGCATCTGTAGTGATGTGCCAAGTATGGCCAGTAGGCGTGCGCAGGTATAACCACCTCCGTCGAGCATCAACATAGACTATTTCTGTGCTCTTTTAAAGCGAGTCATGCACGGGGCCAGTACGGAATGCTAGGTTTTCTCATACGGTCCAAGGGGAACAACTCGTGCCGTCTTATCAGAGTGTGCAGGGTGCCCACAGAAACAGTACATGCACTGACGCATCACACTGCTCATTGTCTGTACATAGTACTTACTCCCAATATTTGTTGGAAGTACTATTTATTATATATTCGTACTACCTGTTCTTAAGTACTCCATGTATAGGTGTGGGACGACTGTGTGTTCAGGTCCATTGACGATCTTAATATAATGAATTTATTATTAACACCCACTCATTCTGTCATTCATTCATTCATTAATCAACGTTTCAAGTATTCTTTTGTTATACAGTAGAACATGGATATAGTGAACAAGGATATAGCGTACAAACGGATATAGCGAACAAATTTAAAAGTCCCGTCAATAGTCCTTTATAATATCATTAAAATTATACGCGAATAACAAACTCGTGAGCAGCGAATTAACGGCTGTAGCAAACTGATTTACTACCCCCAAGACCCAATTAACGATGTGATTAGCGAACTCACTGTGTCAGCTCAGTGTCAGCTCAGTGTCAGCTCAGCCACTTAGCGGTATACATCAACCTTGTTGGCGGCGAATCAACATTGTTTGATGGTCATTCATTAATTAACAAAACAAACATGTCGTGTTTAAAAGCTTGACTGACTTGATTGTGATGTCAGTAGCCCAGCAGTTTGCCACGCCCACTGTCACATCCGCTCCCAACTCTGATAGTGAAGATGATGAACCTCGCCCGAAGCCATCCTTTGCTGAGGCCAATGCAGCATTAGAGAGACTACGTCATCTACTTGTTTGTGAAGGTACAGATAGTTCTATCTTCAACTCTCTTGCAGATGTCTGTGATGCAGTTGACAAAATGAAGTCTGCAAGACGTGGTGTGCAGAGCAAAATTGTGGACTTTGTTAAACGTAATTAAGTTATATACATGTATTGTTGAGATTGTTGTGATTGCTAAACATGTTCCAGCTAATGTCTGTGAATGATCAATTCAGAATTTTAATGTTATGTCAATGTACATGTACAAGAATAAAGAATTGTAGCCTCAGCATATACATGTCTCTACATCTCTACAATCCAAGATGGCAGTCAAATGTGAATAACAAACAACGGATATAGCGAACTAAATTTCTTGGTCCCTTGGTGTTCGTTATATCCGTGTTCTACTGTATTTGGGTGGTCCTGAAAAGGACCGTTGTATGTAAGTACAAGCTCTGGTGAACTTTCTTCTTGGAGCTGGTGTACTTGTTCACAGCACAGCACTTGGTAGGTGATGGTGGATGGCTTGTTGTTATGGTCGTGACGGGATGCTGCAGCAGCGATTCTCTCGAAGATACGGTTCACAAAGCAAAGCCAACATTTCAATACAGTCCCTGTTTCGATGCGATACTGAAACCATACACCTACCATTTCGTTTGGATCAGTAAACCTCTCCTTCTTGTAGCTCTCTCGCTGCCATGTCTCCCACTGAAACAGGTGTTTACATGTCAACAAGCAATTAGTTACCTGCCTCACAAAACACAAGAATAATAAGTAAATAAGTTCACGAACATCTCCAAACGGTGCATGCTTCGATGTAATGCTGAAAACATACAGCTGCCATTTCGTTAGGCTCGTTAAGCCTCTCTCGCCACCTCTCTCAGCGTCCTGTCTTCCACCGACGCACGTTTCCAATGTCAACAGTTAACTAGAGTTGTGTCCCTTAGCATAGAAACTGAAAGAAGTTCCCGTAAAATCTCCCTGATTTGGCCAAAACACGGTGATAGCTTCAAACACCCCTCAAGGGTTGGGGTTAGGGGTTAGGGATGGGTATAAGACTGGGGTTAGTGTTGGGGATAGCGTGAGGTGTAGGATTGGGTATAAGACTGGGGATAGTGTTGGGGATAGCGTGAGGTGTAGGATTGGGTATAACACTGGGGTTAGTGTTTGGGGATAGTGTGAGGTGTAGGATTGGGTATAAGACTTGGGATAGTGTTGGGGATAGCGTGAGGTGTAGGATTGGGTATAACACTGGGGTTAGTGTTAGGGATGGCGTGAGGTATAGCATTGGGTATAAGACTGGGGATAGTGTTGGGGATAGCGTGAGGTGTAGCATTGGGTATAAGACTGGGGTTAGTGTGGGGGATAGCGTGAGGTGTAGCATTGGGTATAAGACTGGGGTTAGTGTGGGGTATAGCGTGAGGTGTAGGATTGGGTGTAAGACTGGGGGTAGTGTTGGGGATAGCATGAGGTGTAGGATTGGGTGTAAGACTGGGGTTAGTGTTGGGGATGGCATGAGGTGTAGGATTGGGTGTAAGACTGGGGTTTGTGTGGGGTATAGCGTGAGGTGTAGGATTGGGTATAAGACTGGGGTTAGTGTTTGGGGATAGCGTGAAGTGTAGGATTGGGTATAACACTGGGGTTAGTGTTAGGGATGGCGTGAGGTATAGCATTGGGTATAAGACTGGGGATAGTGTTGGGGATAGCGTGAGGTGTAGCATTGGGTATAAGACTGGGGTTAGTGTGGGGGATAGCGTGAGGTGTAGCATTGGGTATAAGACTGGGGTTAGTGTGGGGTATAGCGTGAGGTGTAGGATTGGGTGTAAGACTGGGGGTAGTGTTGGGGATAGCATGAGGTGTAGGATTGGGTGTAAGACTGGGGTTAGTGTTGGGGATAGATGCCACTGTTGGCATTAAGGGGACATAACTCTTTCCCAAAATGATTCAATGGGCGATAACTGATGGTGGTGTGAATTGCTTTTCTAGAGTTTTCCAAGTTTGCCATTTTGTGTTGGATCGTGGGAAGTGTGGCTGTCTTCATTTCAGTGTTTGCTCACGAATTTACAATTGGAAAAGACTCTTCTGTGGATTATTCTTGTTTGACTGTTCTACCACAGCATTATGGATTACAGACAGATTTTGTTGAAGCAGCAATTATGGCTGGCTTCCTTTGAGTGTTTGCTCACGAATTTACAATTGCACACTCTCATCACTGAAGCTAAGGAATGTTGGAATATACTCTGCTGTGGATTATTCTTGTTTTACTGTTTTACCACAGCATAATGGATTACAGACAGGATTTTGTTGAAGCAGCAATAATGTCTGGTTTCCTGTGAGTGTTTGCTCACGAATTTACAATTGCAGGTATGTCAATGTGTTTTAGTAATGCCCTGTGTTTATTGAAGTTAAACAGATGTATTCCTACTTTTGTAAACAGCATTTTTATGTCAATTACTCTTAGCGGCCGTAAATATCATGGTCAGAAATTGAACATAACAACTTTCTATCCCTAAACGTTCACTTGCATGACAATGTTGTTACTCTAATACCAATTGCCACATGGCCTAGGTGTATGCTGTCATTGTACATGTTTTGCAAATTTCAATGGTTGTAACATAATTCTAGAAAAAAAATTGATGAAGACTCCTAGTTCAAATGATCTTCTGAGATACAATATGAACTGACAGTTAGGTTTCTAGGTTAGGTTGTAGGTTAGACCCCGAACTGACAGTTAGGTTTCAGGTTAGGTTGTAGGTGCGACCCCGAACTGACAGTTAGGTTTTTAGGTTAGGTTTGAGGTTAGACCCCTAACTGACAGTTAGGTTTTTAGGTTAGGTTGTAGGTTAGACCCCGAACTGACAGTTAGGTTTCAGGTTAGGTTGTAGGTGCGACCCCGAACTGACAGTTAGGTTTTTAGGTTAGGTTTGAGGTTAGACCCCTAACTGACAGTTAGGTTTTTAGGTTAGGTTGTAGGTTAGACCCCGAACTGACAGTTAGGTTTCAGGTTAGGTTGTAGGTGCGACCCCCCCAAACCGAACTGACAGTTAGGTTTTTAGGTTAGGTTTGAGGTTAGACCCCTAACTGACAGTTAGGTTTTTAGGTTAGGTTGTAGGTTAGACCCCGAACTGACAGTTAGGTTTCAGGTTAGGTTGTAGGTGCGACCCCGAACTGACAGTTAGGTTTTTAGGTTAGGTTTGAGGTTAGACCCCTAACTGACAGTTAGGTTTCAGGGTTTTAGGTGCGGTTAGGGTTTTAGGTTAGGTTAGGTTAGACCCCAAACTGACAGTTAGGTTTCAGGTTAGGTTGTAGGTTAGACCCCAAACTGACAGTTAGGTTTTAGGTTAGGTTTGAGGTTAGACCCTTACTGACAGTTAGGTTTTAGGTTAGGTTGTAGGTTAGACCCCAAACTGACAGTTAGGTTTCAGGTTAGAGGTGCGACCCCGAACTGACAGTTAGGTTTTAGGTTAGGTTGTAGGTTAGACCCCAAACTGACAGTTAGGTTTTGGGGTTAGGTTTTAGGTCAGACCATAGGTTAGACTCTAATCTGACAGTTAGGTTTCAGGTCAGACCCTAGGTTAGACCCCAAACTGACAGGTTTTGGGGTTAGGTTTTAGGTCAGACCATAGGTTAGACCCCAAACTGACAGTTAGGTTTCAGGTCAGACCCTAGGTTAGACCATTTGACATGGCCAGTATAAAGCCAGTTGAAGAAACATTTGTGTTTCCCCCAATTTTCATCTGAACAATTGAAAACATTTCATCATTGTTGTGGAAGTCAGCTGATGTATGAGCATGGATGGGAATATTGGTTTGCATTAGTACCCGGCTCTGACCACAAGCAATCCATCATTTATGATTTCCAGTGGATGTCTACTACAACATACAAGGTGTTGCAATATGTTAAAAAGACCTTAGAAAGAGGTTACTTAATGCTTCATCAACAGGAATAGCACTGAACACTTGCAAGAAAAATAACTTTAGTGACTTGAGAACCCTGACCATATTGCCTGATGACAAAAGGCATGTTTTGGAAATTTTGCAAGACTGTATAAACTCTGTAGAACCCATCCCAGGTTTCCAAAAGTTTTCGCTTTGGTGAGAAATCAAGTGTAGGATTCAACATTCCCACTACTTCACCTACAGCTATAACCAGAATAACTGCTCATATTAGCGTTAACATTTGTCCCAACACAGGAATCGACATCTTGTGGTCAAGAACAGGCTTACAGGATTTGGTTGGTGACAGGGGTACAATGACAAGTGCACTATCCTTTTATGAAAGTGCCAACTTTCAGTCCAATCTTGATGGAAGGCATATGGATGTCAAAGGAGAACTGCGAAAAGTGTGCCTCCAGCCCCAGAGTGTGCAATTTATACAAATGTATTCAGATGCCTATTTGAAAGTCATTGAAAGTAATACATCCATATTTCATTGTCTTGTTGGCAGACTTGAATTCGTTGCATCTATTCCAAATGATACCGAAAATGTAAGACCTGAAGATTACCTCGATATTTCCCATTTAAGTCGTCTTCTTGAGCATCCCTCAATAATCACCCCGTTCTTCCTCCCAGATACTCTTGCTTACTACATTAAACAGGTAGGACTGCATCTTACTGGATCTCTGTGTACTCTGTTACAGCTGTACAAGAATACAGGCAACTGTATGGCTACATGGAAGGCTTTTCAAACTGAACTCGCCATAGAGAAACTGTTATCCATTGTGCTTCCGATCTGCACAGTTTTCAGTGAATCTTGGGTTGGGACTAGGCCATCCCACACGAAGTAAAACAGATGCTTTAGGCTTTTTAGCTCTGGAACCACCAACGTCATGCATGCATGCCGAGTCATCGTGCCCTACCCCATCTATTTGGACAACAAGCTTAGTCATCCAAAGACAAATCATCAAATGTTTTGGTTTCCGTGACTATCTCATTGGCAGCCCCATTGTGCTTGGTAGACGAGCTATAGAAATTTTACTCAAAGATCTTCATGATATGGGCAACAAATTTTGCATGCGACAAGAAGAGTTTGTACACAAGCTTCAGGGTCATTCCACAATACCGCCAGTGTGCGGTACTGTTACTGTAAATCAAATCATCCACAAAATAACCCATGTCAAGTCCATGAAATTTCCAATGGTATGGCTATCAGTGTTGGAACGTTTGAGCACCAATCCACAATTGGAAGTGAACGAACTTCTAAAGAATGGCTTATCAGAATTTTGTACTTCCCTGCTGTACGACTATATGACGCACAGAGGAATGCACGTCTTATCTGGGAACACACATTTGGGTATTGGAGTGTTTCCAATAATGTCGTTCAAGGAATCACCACTGAACACAGAGCAACAGTACTCTGTCAGCTCATTGTGCAAGAGATTGAATCAAGACACTTACTACACACAAGCCTTTTCAAGAATGCTATGTGTGGCACCAGAGGATTGTAATTGTGAAAATATCATTCCACCACCCAAAGAACCAACGAGCGAAGAAAATGTTCAGCGAGTAGAAGTAAGACACATACCAGCTGATGGCAAAGTTCGTTGGTCTTCAAATGAACTCAGTCTGTTGCATGGCTTGGAAGCCGATGACAAACTCTAAATGGCAAAACATAGCTACTGTCTCTATAAAGAGCAATGCAGGATCGAGGATATCCCAGACAGAAGCTATGAAGCCTTTAAGCGAAAAGTTTCCAGGTTACTGTAACCTATAAGCAAATGAACTCTGTTTTACATATCTGCTATTGTTTCACAATGCATCACAATTTGGGTCTGACCTAGGGTCTTACCAAAAAGCCTAACTGCCATCTTTGGGTCTACCCCTATGGTGTCAGACCATAGGTTCGACCCAAAACTGACAGTTAGGTTTTGAGGTTAGGTTTGTGGTCAGACCATAGGTTCGACCCAAAACTGACAGTAAGGTTTGTGGTCAGACAATAGGTTAGACCCAAAACTGACAGTTAGGTTTTTGGGTTAGGTTTGTGGTCAGACCATAGGTTAGACCCAAAACTGACAGTTAGGTTTGTGGTCAGACCGTAGGTTGTACCCAAAACTGACAGTTAGGTTTTGGGGTTAGGTTTGTGGTCGGACCATAGGTTAGACCCAAAACTGACAGTTAGGTTTGTGGTATCGGCCATTTTTGGGTCTACACTATGGTCTTACCAAAAACCCTAACTGTGTTATTTGGGTCTAACCTATGGTCTCACTTAAAACCTGATAAAAAAATCTAACCGTCATAACACTTTCTCTAACCTATGGTCTGACCATAAACCTAACCGTCATCTTTGGTTCTAACCTATGGTGTTACCAAAAAACCTAACCATCATCTTTGGGTCTATCCTATGGTCTGACTAAAAAGCCTAACTGCCATCTTTGGGTCTGACCCTATCTATGGTCTGACCAAAAAGCATAACTGTCATATCTGTACATTCTTGTAACTACATTTTTATCTTTGTACTATGCCATTATTATCTTATATTATCTTATCTTATCCACTCTTTGTACTCACTCAGCATTCACCTGATGAATGAGCAAGAATTAGCTCTTAAACATCGTGTAAAGAATAAAAAGAAGTTGTTATCCATAAAAGGTGTCATGTATTCTTGCCATATTGGGGTGTAACCTATCGTCTCACCGAAAACCCCACCAATAAACCTAACCGTATTCTTTGGGTCTAACCTAGGGTCTAACCTATGGTCTTACCCAAAACCTGACCCAAAAACCAATCCGTCATGTTGGGTCTAACCTATATGGTCTCACCCAAAAACCTAACCGTCATTTTTGGGACTTACCTATGGTCTTACCAAACACCTCACCATGAAACCTAACCATCGGCTTTGGATGTAACCTATGGTTTCAGCAAAAACCTAGCCCCAAAACCTAACCTCATATTTCACCTAACCCTACTTATGTTTATAGGGGTTGCTTTGCAAGAAAATGGTCTGATGTGAATTTCTGTCATAATTCATGATAACAAGTACATATTAGTGTCAATTGAATTTTATTTTCTATCCCTACGTTACATAAAGCACAATATCAACCGTCTTTCTCCATATCGGTTTCTCCACCCTCAGTTATCATGAAACATAACAAATCTAAACTATATCTTACGAACATTGTTCTTAAACTATATGTCATTCATTATCGATAAATATTTAGTTCTGGTTGGAAAAACGTTTTAAATATAGGTGCGAAATATCAACCGTAGACAGGTTTTTTTTAGAATAATAATTTATTCTTTAATGAAACATTCTCAAATAATCAGAAAAAACAGCAAACACTCTGATGAAATAATCAGAAAACACATAAAACATATGATGAAATTAACAGAAAACACAGTAAACACACTGATGAAACGATCAGAAAACACAGCAAAAAATCTGATGAAATAATCTGAAAACAAAGTAAACACTCTAATGAAATAATCAGAAAACAAAGTAAACACTGTAACGAAATAGTCGTAAAACACAGTAAACACCCTAATGAAATAATCAGAAACCAAAGTAAACACTCTAATGAAATAATCAGAAAACACAGATAACACTCTAATGAAATAATCAGAAAACACAGAAATCCGAGAAAAGGTCAAGGCCATGAGGTTGCTGTCATTCTTCTTGTAGGGAAGGGTCTACAGTGGAATTGTCAAATGTGAACCAAGCTTTTTAAACCTATTTGAAATATGTTTTCCAACTTATCACTTAATGATTTGTGATTAATGCATTGAAAAAACAAAACGTAATTTGTTATTACTGAATCTGGAGTTTGTTAGTTATTGACGGTTTGCCAACAATCACCCCTTTCCGGGGGATGCCACTTGAGATTGGAATGCGAGGCCGCTTCACGTATTGACTTGTAACCAAAGAAAGAGTTCAAACTGGAATTGTTCATAAAATGATCATGGTAGAATGGAAAATCAGAGGTATACAACGAAATTATAATGGCGTAGCGTGAGGTTTCAAATGACAAATTTAGAGCTATTGTAATTTCGTTATATACCTCTGATTTTCCAACACAGTAGGCTTATCTCCTAAGTAAACATTCTCATGAAATAATCAGAAAACACAGTAAAACCCATATTTCATATCCAATAATACTTATCGTATATATACTACCCATCAAAAGTTTAGACTCACTAGTGTAAATGTAGACACTTACTTCAGTCAACTGTTCTAAACTAAATGTTGGAAAATATTCCATTCTGTTTAAAGGTACTGCTTACACATGAACTGATGTATTGCAAAACATATTCGTAACGTTGAAAAGATTATTGTCAAGAGTTCATTTAATGATGAAAATCAGTGAAAATTGGCGAATTCTTAACAAAACTTTACACCAAAACGCAGCTGTTCACATGCACGATATTTGCACTTGCTCTTTACCAATTTCATGCAATATCCTAGTGCAATTCATCTGCATAAAGTTTGCAGTTGGTTCCCCCAAGTTAGTGGAGAAATCCATCTTTGATGTAACCACGTGTTTATACACAACATATAGTGGGTGCTTTAAGTGAGTCTTAACTTTTGATGGGTAGTATATTAATCACTCTCTTAACCAGAATTTACACTTCCATGCCAGTGTCTGCTTCTTCCATACATTTTTCCTCTGCTGGGTCCTCTGAAGGCTTGCAAGTCCAGCAAGGAATTGGTTCTTTTTTCCAGGTCAGAGTTCATTTTGTCTAAGTCAATGTGGCGCCTAGACAGACACAACTTGGCCCGCTTAGTGATATTTAAAATGTTTTGCGACATGTATTCTTGGAAACTTTTGCTTATTCCTGGTGGTTTCCACAAGTTCAATATTCTTCCCTCCTTAATTACGAAATTTGCACTCTCCTTATTACCTTTAAGGTCTTTCTTGTTGATCAGAAAGTTCAAGAATGCCACCTGCACACGGTTCAGTCTTTCGCTTATCGGCATTTCCTTTGGCAGGAAGGGTAACAATGTCGCGTGCCATTCCGTTGGTATGTCGTCAATTGACTGTACAAACCTGTAAATAATATAAACGTGAATACTGTAACATATGTGCGAGTGAGTGAGTGAGTTTAGTTTTACGCCGTTTTTAGGAGTATTCCAGCAATATCATGGCGGGGTACACCAGAAATGTGCTTCCAACATATGTATCAGGCAATATCCAATGACAGGTCCCATCAATATTCAAACTTAATATAAGCCTATTTTTCACATTAGGTTTAGCATGGTCATAGTGTCACTTGGCGCCACTCCTGAATTTCTTCACAAGTCATTCGTTGCCACAATTTGTACCTTGTTTCTCTTGGAGGCTCGGCTTGTTGTTCTTCTACCAGGGAACACTCTGGCAGTGGCGTCGAGTTGGTCGGCATGGGTGTGCTCTCACACGGCAGCGGCGTGGAGGGCTGCTCGTCATCCACTGTGATCCCCGTTGGGTTCGCTGCTCTTAGAAGGGCCTTTTTTATTGCTTCGTTCACAGCAGTCTTGATCTGAAGGGTGAATAAGGTTTGTTATTTAATAATGTGGTACATGTAATTATAATGAAATATGAAGTTATAATCTTGAGTGTCAGAAAAGTACTATTCCTTATGTTACATACCTCTTGATAAATTTCGGACTTGAAATCTTGTAAGTCCATTTTTGTTTGTTGCATGCAGTTCTCGAGCCTTAGGTTTACATCAGATGCAACCTGTGTCGCTATATTTATGGACAGGTTGTTCATTCTACCCTCCAGGTCTTTGATTTTCCCTTCCATCTGGCCTTGTAACCTCTTGAGGTCGGACGCGGACTTGGCCGCCTGGTCGATACACCATTGTTGGAGCTGACCAACAATGTCATCACCAGTCATAGATGAAGTATCAGCTATGCTGAAACAAAACATGCCTTTAATTAAAAAAGCCAATCAATCTACCTATTTATCAGTTCTAGTAGTTCTAAAATCAATCATATCCGGGTTAGAATTTATGTTCAGTAACCCATGCTAGTCGTAAGAGGCGACTAACGGCATCGGGTGGTCGGGCTCACTCACTTGTCTCACACATTGTCATAGTAATTCAATTGCGTACATTGATGCTCACGCTGTTGATCACTTAATTGTCTGGTCCAGACTCATTTTTTACACACCGCCGCCATATGGCTGTAATATTGCTTGAGTGCGGCATAAAACTAAATTCACTCATGCACACTAAAAATACATGTTACTTACTTGCATGTGTCCATGAGTGTAATCCAGGTAGTCAGGTATTCCAGATTATCTGAAAATGCAAGAAAATAGGCTGCACATTAAGAATGATAGTGTGCTTCCAAGAAACTACATAGTTATCAGCATTTGGACTTATATACTATTATTAACCATCGTACTAAATCAAACCCTATTTCCCAAAGGTTTGGTTCAAGTGAAGCAAGTTCTACTACTACCTAGTCACAACGTTACACATTACCTTATCATCACGTCCTTGCAACGTATTGTTTATACCTTGACGCAACGTTCTCATAACCTTGTGAGGACGTTCGTTTTATATATTTTGTTTAGTTCACATTTAATTAGTTATCAAAAACATATTGAATGTAGAAATACTTTGAATAAATCTGTCTTGTTTGTTTTGTTAGCTTCGTTCAATTGAAAAAAAAAGATATATCAGTTAACGTTTGTAGGTTATGAGAATGTCATTTGCATACGTTGTCACAACGTTACACAGCTCTTCAGTATATGATAAAGTTTAGTCATAGTATTGCAATAACTGTTTAATTATATTTATGCCCGCAGTGGCCCTTCCCACAATGGCCCCTGAGTTTTCACGCCTTGTTAACGACCCTTCCCATAGTGGCCCCTGAACACTTTAGTAAGATAAGATAAGATAAGATAATATTTTATTTAAGTGTCACATGGTATATATTGCTAAAAAAGTGTCACACAGATAAAACAGTTATAAAGTATACCATCCGGCCATATGGCACAGGCGCCCCGTCCCACCCCACCCCCTCCCTCTGACGCGCGCACATGACCATGGTCACTTCGGTGTGAAGCGTTGTGAAACGGGGGGAGGGAGGAGGGGAGAAGAGGGCCGCGGGCGGGACTCAAAGCAAGCCGCCACACTACCAGTGTCACAGAGCCAGACATTAATGGTTATTATAACTAACGAATGAACGAACGATGATTATGAGAGAGCGACGTCATATCTTTATTCGTAGACTGACTGACGGACTGAGTTTGGTTTTACGCCGCTTTTAGCAATTCTTTATTCGTAGAAGATTGGTTGAATTGTGTTGACTTGAAATGTGATTGACTGTAACAATAAACAAAACTAACTTAGATTCACATACAGCAGTAATGTCAATTGTTTACAACAGTACATAACTTAGTCATAACGTATTACGGACTGCATAGTTTTCATTCATTTACTTACAATAACTTATATGATTACCAAATCATTGCAAACATATCAATTCATAATGTTTTCTTACCGTTTTATATGCGCTCTCACGAAGACGAACATACTAACTTGCCTGACGACCATGCATGTCGCCGTGAGACCTTCGAAACATGTGACAAAGCACCTGTAATTATCTGCCCTTTGATCACCTGTAATTATCTGCCCTTCAGTTTTAAATGCTCTGCGCCCAAATGAGATCACTTGAAATAATAAATCAAACCAGATCCTTACATTCCGACACCTTAATTGTGGAATTAAATGAAACAATTACCAAACCAAAACTAAACTATACTTCCTGTAAAGAATAACGAACCTCCTTTGGCAACTATTCAGCACTATTTACCAACTTTCACTTCTGACTAGATATATACCTACTCAATATCCAGTTCACTCAAACTCATTCCCAGCCTCGAGGGTAACACACAACTTATCTATGGGTCTTGTCAATGCAGAAGTTGTCGTTTTTACTTCCACTGTACGCACAAACCCTCTCTTGTCTGCAAGTACATTGATAACACGTCCAAGACTCCATGAATTTCTTGGTAGATTGTCTTTAGTCAAGACGATGTCGTTAACAGCAACATTGCGACGAGGACTTAACCATTGCTGACGTTCTTGCAAGGATGTTAGATACTCTTGTGAACATCTTTTCCAGAAAACATTCGCGATGTACTGTATCTGTCACCACCTTCGGCGTGTGTAGCAGTCACTCTCCGAGTACAGTCCTGGAGGCAGTTTTTCTCCACTACGAAGTAGGAGAATGTGGTTGGGCGTCAGAGGAGACAAGTCATTGATGTCACTTGAAACTGTTGTGATTGGTCTGTTGTTCACAATAGATTCAATTTCACAGAAGAGTGTATGAATTCCTTCATCATCCATCTTGATAACTTGTGAACGAAGCAGGGAGTACATGATCTTCCTGACAGTTCTTATCATTCTTTCCCAAGCTCCTCCGAAGTGGGAACCCATGGGCGGATTAAACTCCCACATTATGCCCTTCTGTAGCATCTCCTGTTGTATTTGATGAAGATTCCAAGACTCTACCGCTTCATTTAGTTCTCGTTTGCTTCTGATAAAGTTGGTACCATTATCAGACCAGATCTTTTTGGGACACCCACGTCTTGCAAAAAACCGACGAATTGCATTGATGCATGATGATGTGTCGAGCTGAGATGCAACTTCAAGATGAATGGCTCTTGATGCCAAACAGGTAAAAACCACTCCATAACGTTTGACATTGCTACGTCCTCGTTTAGCTGCAAATGGACCAAAGAAGTCCACTCCGACTCTCATGAATGGTGCTTCATCACAAGATACTCTATCCAATGGCAGGTCAGCCATCTTTTGATCCCTTTGCTGTGCCATGTACGATCTGCAGATAACACACTTTGAAGTAATGTTCTTGATAAGGTAACCAAGTCCTAAGATCCAGTACTTCTGTCTCAGATTTGTTGTCATAGCAGCCTTTCCCAAATGACCAACCGCTTCATGAGCATTCCGCACGATGAGGTCAGTGACACGAGACTCTTTAGGTAGGAGCACAGGGTACTTTGCTTCAAAGTCCAGACTTGACCGACTTAGTCTTCCGCCAACACGGATCAAACCGTCAACAATGATCGGATCAAGCTTCCTAATGGGTTTGCTTACACATGTTGGACGTTGGTTTTCCAGGGCATCAAACAATTCTTGAAAGCAAGAATGTTGGACTTGGGTAAGTATCACCTTTTCAGATTTCTGTAAAATCTGTACATCAAGCTTTATTTCACGAATAACCTCTGTCTCAGTCAACTTCTTTTGACTTGCTTTCACTTTCAGATAACTGAATAAGAGAAGGTAGTATCAAACAAACTTCTTCAACTTTATCCACGAAGAGCAATAGCTGACGAGCTTGCTCAGAGGACTTTCCACAGGGTTTTGCAATAAAGTTGTGTTCACAGTTTTTATTTCAGGGTCATCTTCTGGTAGTTCTTCAACTTCAACGTCTGGCCACACTGTTTCAGGTTTCGATAAAAAGGAAGGTCCTTGAAACCAGTTAGGTGCATAATCCAGAAAGTCTTTCATATCCATTCCTCTAGAAGCTGGATCTGCAGGATTCTCTTTGGTAGATACATAATTCCAATGCTCTATGTCTGAGCCGTCTCGGATTACAGCAATCATATTTGCTACAAAGGTCTTGAAGCGTGTTTTTTCATTGGCCAGGTATCGGAGAACTGTCATGCTGTCTGTCCAATAGATCACCTGATCTATTTTGTACTGGACCTGTTTCTGTATCATGAGAGAGAGACGAACAGCAACACATGCTGCAGTTAGTTCTAGTCTTGGAATGGAGATCTTCTTCATTGGTGTAACCCTAGCTTTAGACAAAACGAAAGCACAGTGGATGTCTCCCTTTTCATTTACAAGTCTGAAGTATGCAACAACACCATATCCCAGTTCACTGGCGTCTGCAAACACATGAAGTTGACAATCCTGTACTGTTCCAAAGTCATCTGACTTGTAACATCTTGGAATACATAGATTCTCCAATCGAGGAAGATCCGTTAACCACTGTTGCCATGACTTGAGTTGAGTTCCTGTGATCTCTTCATCGCATCCAATACCACAACGACATATTTCCTGGAGTAGAATCTTTGCTTCAAGGATAAATGGAGATCCAAGTCAAAGCGGATCATATACAGAACTAACCACCGACAAAACCATGTAAGTTTTCACTTGAAATCCTAGCATATCCTCCTGAACTTTACACTTAACACCCAAGGCCCTCTCCATGACACGTTCACCCTTTATTTCTTCCAGGTTGAAGTCCTTAGCTGTTTCACCTCTATGTTGGAGGGGTACATCATCCAAGACATCACTGCGATTAGAAATCCACTTTTCAAGTTGAATCCTCCTTTGTTACACATTTCAGTCACTTCATGAACTTGTTCTGCAGCTTCTACAACAGTGGGTAGAGACGAGAGGCAGTCATCCACATAGAAGTTGTTTCTAATGGCATCAGAAATGCTTGGACTGAAGTCTGCTTCATTATCCTTTGCTGTCTGGAGCAGTGCAGCATTAGCACAGCTTGGGGAGGGTGTGGTTCCAAACACGTGAACTTTCATGCAACACTTGATAGGCTCTTGGGTGCAGTCTCCGTGTGGCCACCACAGGAAACGTTGGTAATTCCAGTGCCTCTTCATCACTCGAACTTGATAAAACATGCTTACTATGTCTCCCATAACTGCACATTGTTCTTGCCTCAACTTCATTAGAACTCCAAGTAAACTATTTGTCAGGTCAGGCCCAGAGAGTAATTGCTGATTCAAACTGACACCATTGTACACAAATGCACAATTGAAGACAACTCTTATCTTCTTCTTTTGAGGGTGGAAGACTCCATGATGTGGAATATACCATACAGAACCATCGTCTGGTTCTTCCTCTTCACTTTGAATGGTTTCTGCATAGCTTTTCTGGAATTTTTTTTTCCATAAAATCG